CACTATTAGTTGACAATTTTAAAAGTATTTAAAAGAAGTTGAGTAACATTGACTTAGACATTTATTATCTTCTTAGTTTTCACTGCTCCCAGCGGAGTTTCGGTTATCTCTCTAAAGTAGCATTTCTTTAACATAGGTGCAACTTCAATATTTTGGCACTGATTCGGTACACTGATTTAGTACAGTAGTATGGTCTACTAGATTATATTGTAGTCTAGTAAAATATAGTTGGGTCCTACATCTCTTTCGGCTATTATTTCAAAAGTTCACCTATCTGAATCCTGCTCATGACTAACCAACTTTTCGATTAGCAGAATTTAAATTAAATACTTTATGAACCATCTCATATCCATAAATATTTATTTCCATAAATTGTTTATTTATGTTGGTGATTGGATTAAAAATTCTTACCCAGATTCCCCGCTCAGGCAAGTGCAAACAGTTTAATTGAATTGTGATGTACGATGCTCAGATGTGATAGGCTATAAAGCGTATACATATATATATATATATGTGTATATATCTACGAGCATATGCAAGTGTGTGTGTGTGCGTGGCATTAATTCGCTGCTTTCCTTGTTGTCTTGGGGGTTTGTTTTTAATTTTTATTGCGTTGCGTTTCGCTGGCTTTTGGGTTTCGGTAAAACGCTTAGCGTTGCCCTCTACCAAAACAATTGAAAATGTTTCTTGATTATTCAATTATGCGCAGGCACAAAGTTGGAAAACTTCAAACTGAGTTCCGAGCAAAATGTGTACACAGAGGAGTACATTCTGGTATATGGGAAATGTTGTCTGCCTCAAGACTTTCCTATTTCTTTCGTCTTTGAAATTCAACTTCGTCTTCGTCTTGTTTATCAATTAGGCACACATATATATACATATATATATATATATATATGTATATATATAAATTTGTTTTTGGAATATGTTCACGAAATGCATTCGTAATGCATTTGAAATATATCTGTGAGTCGTGCGGCCCTTTTCTACTTTTCTGCTTTTCCACTCGACAAATGCAACTGCAACTTCTCCATCCAGTGCCCCGCCCCTGGGCGCTATGCCCACTAATCTGTTTATGGAGCTTGGCAGCTTTTTGTGTAATATTTATGCCCTGCTTTCGAGGATTCTATTAATATTTTGATGCACTGCCGCGGCACGGTCCCGCGTGAAACTCTGCCGTGAAGTGTTACAAATTTTATGGAGCTCTGCAGGCGGCAACTTACCCCAAATGGAGCATTTCTAATTGAGTTTAACATTTTTTCGCTGGCATATCATAATTTCTCCAACATTTGGGCATTAATATTGAATGCCTTTGCCCATGATTAACAAATGCTTTGCGCTACCCTATCCCACTTCGGCTCCTCCTCGTCGTCGCCACTTGAAGCGTTCACATTTTTCATCATTCGAATGGAATATATTCAAATTGAAAGTCTTGTATCGAGTGCCATTTTAATTGGCCTTTCGTAACCATTCGGAATACAGCTAGGGAATATATATTTATATATACATACTTGTATATGGTCACAGTTTGTCGATTGGCTCAGCCATCACATTCTCAATTTTGTCACCAGCTCAAGTATCGCATCGTATTTTTTTTAATGTCGATTCATTTTTTATGTCATCGCGAGTTATAAATATAAATTTTATTTGTCGCAGTTGATTGTTATACGAGCGATGGGGGAGAGAGAGACGAATTCGGATCGAGCAACTATACTCTATTCCTAGCCTAGACTCAAGCGGGTCGGCAAGTGATGGCTGCTGGGGATTTGCATGTGAAATCAATTGAGATTCACCCGTTGATCTGGCGGCTATGAGCGATAGTAAAAGTCAGAGAGGCAAACAAATAAAGTCAACGCTGCTGAGCTGTTGACGCAAACCATCCTGCTGCATACCAATAATCCTGCTTCATCATCCTGGGCATCTCATCATCATCATCATGATCTGTCGGCAACATCATTGACATCAAAGTGCGCGACGACATGAGTTCGTCAAAACGTCAAAAAGCGCGTCTAGGGTTTATTTTCGCCTGCCTTAACTCATTTGGATTTTTATATTTAGACCTTCAATTTCATGTACATGACCGGCGTCGTTGATGGACGCGCGCCTAGACAACGCCTCGTCCTAGACCCATAGACAGTTTCCTCACTCTCTCCCTCTCTCTCTTTTAGTCTGTCTCTGTCTGTGACCCTGTTGCAACATATGTTCATGCCCCGAGCTCAGCTCGCAGCGCAGCATGTGATAATTTCCAACTGTTTGCGTCTATGAGTGTGCTTGTGTGTGTGTGTGTGTGTTTGTTGTGTTCTAGTTTTAATGATTTTCCACTACAAAAGGTCCTTGTAACGCCTCCTGGCGCCGCTTGCTCTTAACTCTTCTGCTGCATTTACGACTACACATTTCGCATTCCCCATATTGTTAACCCTAGTTAAATATGCCGACTGATATCTTATGTGTGTATATATATATAGTATGCATAACGGCATTTCTATCTATTTGGGTTTTATGACTGCAAATGTTTGCATGCCTGAGCACTGCTTATCAATCGTCGCTTATCAAAATTGATAACGCATTTTGAAGCTATTTTTGAGATACCATAAGCCGCAACACTTGAGCAACAGACTTTAGTTAATATTTCCAAAGTTGTTGGCAATGAGAGAAACCCCATAACTAATTAGACTGCTCGAACTATCTGTTGCTCATCGACAAATTTTATGAATAAATCGCTCCCATTAGTCGTCAAACCTATCAATCATTGGATTTTTTGTTTGGACTAATTAGCTTCTCAAGAGTTTGACTACATTTCTTCTTGCTCTCATGATTTACTATATTTCTTGGGATATCCCAAGGGGCATTGCTGCATTTCGTCTGCAAGTCATTAGCGCTGCTCTTAAAGCATTGATTAGTCGTTGCCGATTAATTACACATCCACAACTTCTGGCATATGGCTGTACATGCAATGCATATGTTTCAATATGATTTTCATTCTTAGAAATACATTTCTTATATTTTGAATCGAATTACGCCCAAACCAAACAAATGCTCGTGCCAAATGGTGAATTTCTAAACAACTTTTCAATATATATACATACAATATTTATTGGCGGAATTTGCAAATATATCGAATTCCTGAGAGACACATTCATTATAAATACAATCGAGCATGTGAGATATGGCGAGGGTGTTTAACAACAGATGTGAACAATTTATAATCTAATTTCCTGCTCGATTACCTTTCACTCTTAGAACAAACCTCGATTCGAAGTGTTTACCTATACTCATTATATTTATACTTATATTTATACTTATACTTATACTTATAAGACTTGAATTATGTAAAATTGATTAGCCTTTCTTTTGAGTACCGTTCATCATGCTTAACAGTTCTTAATGCTGGCATCTCCAATGGCGTCCTGCACTGACAAGGCCAACAGCAAACAAGAAATGCCGCACAAAAGATGCGAATTTCTGCTTATAAGCAAAAAGAATTCAATTTGCGAGTTCTTCGTGCATTGTGCGTTAAACGTTCCGTGTTATAAAAATATATTTAAAACAAGAACAAGAACACGAGCACGAACAAGTAACACCGATTATTAGCGTCAGATCGAAGTTTAAATACACTTTACCAAGTCATTTTATAAAATATGCTGGAATTGATATATGTGTAATTCTTCTATCTATATCTATGTGTACTTCTTCTAAGGGAATTTAATAATTAGTAAGCCAATCCGAGCGAAACTAATTAATTCTTATAATTAATAGATAAAAGAGGAAACTATTTTTGATCCAACTTCTCTTTTGCCAAGAATAAATCTATTTTATGAGAAAGTGTCAATCCATTCAATAGTTTATGATGTCAATAATAATGCCATTTCGAGAGGGTATTAAATATGATGTTTTTAAATATATTTTTGGGGGCATCGTGCAAGACAAAAAGCCCTAACGCGTGTGACATTTGGTAAGCGTCTCTGGCTTTTGTGCATGTGGAGAAACCGTTGATGCTGATGCTGGTGATGCTGCGACATTTTGGCTTGCTCTCCTCAGAGGTCTGGACTTAGCAGCAGTGGCTAAAATTGAAAGAAATTTTCTTTTTTGGGCTCCCCAAATGTCGACTCTTATTGTTTTATTTTTTGTTTTCATTTTACTGCCATGTGAGAGGCCACTTGTACCGCTCATCTGTGGCTGTGCCAGTGTGTGCGTGTGTGTGTAAGTGAGCCCTCGCATGTGCGAAATGTCTTTAAATGTATCCGCAAGACACAAAAGCTAAAGCTGCTGCATGTCTGACAACACCGTTGCCTGCTGGTCTGCATTAATTAGACATTTTCACATTACAGCAAGGCCTCGACAACAGTTCTTTATATATACATACATATATAGATAAATGTATATATACTTATTCTGTGTAGACCTAATTCTGTATCGCACATACTTAATTTATGAACTTGCTAATTTTAGCGCTACTCACGGCCATATATCACACTTCAGTCATCTGACAGTAAGCGAGATGCTTGTCAAGCTGCTACTGCGGCTGCTGTTGCTGCTGCTCGATGATACTTAGGAATATCCATCGGATACAGAAACTTATGAATATCTATCAGATACTTATGCATGTGCTTTGTACATTGTTGCATCTTATCGGGCATCTGTCCATCTATGTAAACACACGTTAAATGATTATGTGACTGTGTTGGCATTTCGCTTTTTCTTTGCTTTTAATTATGGGCTCAAGTTGTCAGCGTTTTGAGTTTGGAACTTAAGCCCATTTGAGACACCTTTCAGTCAGGGCCAGAGTGTTTCACTCACAGCGGATTTGTCATTGTCGTTGTCATTGTCATTGTCGTTGTTGTAGTTGTAGCTAACTGGGTGTGCCCCCTTGGATAGACCAGATATACAAGCTCAGATATAATACACAGCAATGTTGAACAATGTGTTTTTGGTCTAATTACAACTGTTTGACTGGTAATCATTTTGGCATACTTATACTTACCTTTTCTTTCTGTTTCCAGCACACATTGGTGACTATTTTCCTGCCCTTAATGAGTTTTCAACTCACACTGTGATACGCCCCCAAGTGCATCATGGACGCACTAAGCGCGCCCTGCAGAGCACTCTGGATGCATCGGTAAGTGTGGGACTCCTTGCTAGCTGGAAATTATAATTATGAACGCCAGCTGAGGCCGCATCTGGGTCAACTCACAAAGCAGAGTGAAAAAAAAAGGAATTATCTCTTCTGGTGAGATCCTACTGAAAAGCCAGAGAGAAAAGCAGGCTAAAAAGCATAGATAAAATGATTAAAAGCTCGCGAAAGACTTTAGAAATTAACGTAATAATTAAGAGTCAAATAGAGAAATATTATAGATAGAATGATAAAATGGGATGTAAAAAATAAAAGACTAAACTGAACAATAAATAGCTAAACAAAGTGAATAAAGCTGAGTGAGAAACAAATTCATGGAAACGTGAAAATCCCATTGGGAGGAGCAAGGGAAGTAAATGAAGTGAGAGTAAAAACAAACAGAGAGAGATAGAGAGAGAGAGTTAATTTGGGAAATAAGTATGAAAAGAAAGTGAGAACCAAGAGGAAGCAAACATAAGAAATACAACAAGTAAGGATCAAGACGAGAATCAAAGTGAGAAGAACTGAGAAGTAAATTAAGAAACGAAGTAAGGGACAAAGTGAGTGAATAACAAGGAAAGTGAGAAGTAAATTGAGAAGCAAGTCAAGCAATGAGGCAAGGAATAACAAATTGAGAATTTAAGTAAGAGAGAAGCAAAGTGAGAAGCAAATTATAAAGTGGCTCTTGCTTTTCTTAAATGAAAACAAAAAACAAAATAAAACGAATAAGCAACAGAGTAAGAATTAAATTGATGATTCATGTTCGGAACAAAAAGTAAAGCAAAGCAAAGTAAAGCAGGAAGAAGCTTGATAATCAAATTCTGTAAACATAAGAAAGCGAAACAAGTTATTAGTAAGGAAGCCAGCTAGGAGCAATATCACAGGAAAAGCGAAATAATAAGTAAAGCAATGAGTTCAAGTTGAGAAGAAAGCAAGAAGCAAATGTTAGAGTAATGAGAAGCAAAACAAGAAGGTTTAAATAGAATTACAACTAAAGCGTGTCTCTGCTCTGGAACTGATGGACAGTTTAAGGCAAGTTAGCGTAACTCAGTTTGGAGTTTTTTAATTAAGCAATTTGAGCGGCCGTTTGAAATGTCATAACCATTGAGTGGCCGTTGACATGAACTTGGCTCATTGCAGGCCGCTTGTAATTAGCCCGGCCTGATAAAATGACAAAAAAGCGGGGCTGGCCGCCTAAGTGAATAAAAGTTAGTCGAACGGCCAACAAAATGAAGCAAAAATTGTAGAGCGAACAATTTGACATGCCACTGCGAGCCGTTGGCTGCGTGGGCCTCTGGGTGGGCCGCTGGGCGTGCCAGAAATAATAAAAACAAAGAGCAGGGCAAGAAAAAAAAATGGGAAAATGGCAAAAACGGGAACCGGCCAACAAAACCCTTTTTAATTAGTTTCCACGCGCGGCTGGCGCGCGCCATGGGAGGCAAAATTTGACACGTTCGCACCTAGAAATTGTTTGCGTGGGTGCAATTTGGACTGTGTGGCGTGTGTGTCCAGGCTTAACTTGGCGTGCGAGGATTACATTAAATGTGGAGCAGGCCGTTGAAATATGGAAATCTGTTTAATGCTTTAATCCGCTGCTATCTGCTTTCTGCGTTCCAGGACGGACTGCACGCGCCGCAGTTAACGCTGAAGTACACGCATCAAGGACAACGCATCCAAATCGAACTGCAGCGCAACGATCGCCTACTGCCCGACGCCCACTTCCTGCGGTACCAGAACGCCAGCAATCGGGAGGACGGCGCCGCCGGCTACGTGGTGCGCAATTTTACCAAGACTGACGTTGATTTATGTCATTATCAGGTGAGCAGGCGCTGCACAGTTGCTTTTACGGCAGTTTGGCTCTTTTTTGGATCTTTCTGTTTTTCTTATTTAACCACGTTCTGTGCTTACGCAGGGACACATACGTGGCCAGCCGGACTCGAGCGTGGCCCTCTCCACCTGCCACGGCGGCCTCAACGGCGTTGTCTTCGATGGCCAGCACACGTACTTCATACACCCACATGGCAAGGCCAGCGGACGGCTGCAGGATGACCACTATCTGCTCAGGTGAGTGTTACCTTGATAAATTGCGAGGCAGCTAAGAAAACGTGCCCTAGCTTTCCTATTCGAGATTAGCTTTACGAGGGAGATGCATTATTAGTCAGGATTCGCTTTGAAAATTTATTGCAACAGTTGCTTTAAGCATTAGAATAACCAAAACTTGACTCTTTACAATCAACAAACAAACAATTATAAGTAAAAGGCTCAAAAAATAGATACATATATAAATATATACAGTAGAATCCGTTTATAACGACGCTCAACAGACCGTATAAATTTGCTTTTATAAGTTCGTCTGGAGACTAGAATTTCCGACACAATAACTGTACGGACTCTGTAAGCGGACTCGTTATAACTGCATTCTACTGTATATTAATATATGCCTCGAAATGTTCTTAAAAAAATTAATGCAAATTATATTATATAAAAATTTACAGACTTGAAATTCTTCTTTTATATATAAAAAAAAATGTATATTTCATTTAAATTGAGATATCTGCTAAAGAGATTCAAATTTGTAAGCTTTCATACCTATTCAGTTGAGCAGCGCTGTATAGCAGCAGTAGGCAATTGATAACATAGGGCTTAACAGTGCGCCTGTTAACAGCGTGTCTACAATACAATCGTGATTTTATACGCTCAGCTCTCTTGATCTATTCATTTCTATCTCCTTTCTTTGCGTAAATCTCCTGGGCTATCATATTTACTCAGAGACGTTCGCGTGAATAAGCAAATATCACGCACACATATCTAAGTAGACGGCGCTTATCCGAGCCCATATTTACTCTGCTGTGTCTTGAGCCATGCAGCGTGAGCGGAGTTGGGGCTGGGTCAGGTTTGGGCAGTGGCCTGCCTCAATGTTTGCCTTATTTGCGTTCAATAAATATGTGTTTTTTATTGGTTTGCCCATGTTGCCTCATGGGCCAGGGCATGCCCAGGCCATCTAAGGCTCACTTCCGTTATTAATTTTTAGCCACGGAAGTATTAAATTACCAGCAATATTTCGGTTTATTTAGGCACGCCGATATGCTGCAGCAGAATGCCACCTGTGGCTACGACAGCCACAAAGGCAGTTATGAAAATTGGCCCGGCGAGAATCTGGAGGAGGATGAGGTGGAACAGCCCACAGTGCCGCAACGCTTGGATGGCGGGGAATTCCAGCGCATGCTGAGACGCAAGAGACGCCAAACGGACGAGAGTCAACTGATACGTGGACCGTACAATGCCAACAAGTACTCCAGCTATGTGGAGCTGGTCATTGTGGTGGACAACAAGGTGTACAAGCATTTCGGGGAGAACGCCAAGCGAGTCCATCAGCATTGCAAGGATCTGGCCAACATTGTGAATGCCGTAAGTAGCCGCCGAATAATGCTAATCTCTTAGTTCTAAAGCCACTAAACCACTTGAACCACCTGCAGCTCTATGTACCGCTGAACATCTTTGTAGCGCTCGTGGGCGTCGTCATTTGGAACGAGTCGAATGAGATTGAATTCTCCAGCGATGGCGATGTGACGCTGCACAACTTCCTCAACTATCGCAGGTCTAAGCTGGTGGTGGATCATCCCAATGACAATGCCCAGCTGCTGACCAAGGAGACGTTCAACGGCAGCGTCGTGGGCAAGGCCCTCAAGGGACCCATCTGCACCTATGAGTTCTCCGGCGGTGTGAGCGTGCAGCATAGCCAGGTGTTGGCTGTGGTGGCCACGACCATGGCCCACGAGATGGGTCACAATTTTGGCATGGAGCACGATTCGAATGACTGCCACTGCCCCGACGAGAAGTGCGTGATGGCCTCGTCCAGTTCGGCCGTGGTGCCGGTGCACTGGAGCAGCTGCAGCATCGATCAGCTGACCATCGCATTCTCGCGCGGCATGAACTACTGCCTGCGCAACAAGCCCACGCGCCTGTTCGATTCGCCGCAGTGCGGCAATGGCTTCGTGGAGCCCGGCGAGCAGTGCGATTGCGGGCTGCCCGCCCACTGCGAGAACAGCTGCTGCAATCCGATCACCTGCATGCTGCACACGAATGCATCGTGCGCCACTGGCGAGTGCTGCGATTTAAACACCTGCCGACCCAAGATGGCGGGCAGCACTTGCCGTCCGGCGGAGAACGAATGCGACTTACCCGAGTTCTGCACCGGCGAGTCGGAGTACTGCCCGACGGATGTGTTCCGCCGTGACACCGAGCCCTGTGACGGCAATCAGGCGTACTGTTTCCTGGGCACATGCCGCTCCCACACCAACCAGTGCCGCATCCTGTGGGGACCCACGGGCGACAACTCGGTGCACTGCTACGAGAAGAATCTGGAGGGCACCCGCCTGGGCAACTGTGGCTACAATCTGCTCAACCAGACGTTCGTCAAGTGCGCACCACAGCACATACACTGTGGCATGCTGCACTGCAACCACCTGAACGAGCGCCTCGAGTTTGGCATGGAGTCGGCAGCGGTGCTGTCGCACTCCTTCATCAGTCACGATCGCAAAATAGTTGCCTGCCGCACGGCCCTTGTGGATCTCGGGCTGCAGACCACCGATCCCGGCCTGACGCCGAACGGCGCCAAGTGTGGCGACCAGAGCATGTGCGTCAATCAGCAGTGCCTGCCCCTGGAGCGTGTGCGCAAGATGGGCATGGGCGCGCGCTGCCCGGAAGACTGCAACGACAACGGCATCTGCAACAGCCGCGGCCACTGCCACTGCGACGTGGGATTCGGCGGCGAGGCGTGCAACAAGGTCGGGCACGGCGGCTCCGTGGACAGCGGCCCAGCCACAGATCCGAGCAGTAAGTATTATCTGCAGGGAGCAGCTCAAGTAGAGGCATATCTCACTCTTCTTCTTCTTCTTCTTCTTCTTCTTCTTCTTTGCTCAGGTGCTCTCAGCCTACAGCGCTTGCTGTACATCCTGTTCTTCGCGGTGCTGCCGATATTGGTCTCCTTCTATTTGTTCTACCGCTTTGCAATCCGGAACAAGCTCTTCGCCAGTGGAAAACTAACCGAGAATATGTATGTATCGTCATCCACGTCCAGTAGCAGCAGCAGCAGCAACAGCAGCAAAAGAAACAGTAGCAGCAGCAGCAGCAAAGGCTGCGCTGCCGTTTCTTACTGCTCCACAGCTAGTTCACCCACAGCCAATTGTACTACGTCTGCACCGCCACCTACACCAATAGAACCAATGCACGTTACCACATCACCACTACCACCATTACCACCAGCACCACCACTACCGCCACTTAACCACACACAAACTACTAACACTGCAACAATTACTAATATACACGCCACACTGCCCCGCCTGAAGTCCAGTCCTGGCATACTCGCTGCAGTGCATCCGCCTGCGATGCCAAAGAGCCAGAGCCACTACGAGGCGCTGCATGCGCCTCATTTGCGGCGCAAGCTTTCCAATGCAGCTGTGGCTAGTGCATCAGTTGCACCGCCCGTGCCACCGCACAAAAACAACACTAACAGCAACAACAACAACAATGGCAACAGCAACAGTAATTCAAATACAATGCGCCGCAAGCTGGACATAACGGCGCCGCGTCTGCATGCCACCACAAATCCCTTGGCGCTCACCGAGGGCGCCCAATATATAAAAAGCGAGCCCGCGAGGTGTGCCAAATACTAACAATAATAACAACAACAACAACTCCAGCAACAATAACAAATACACTGCCCAAAAAACAACAGACAAAAATTTCTATTAGCTTCCTTGCGGCATGTGGCGTGATTTACAATCTTTTCTTTTGCTTTCCCTTCACCCCATTTTCATTTGTGTGTGCTTCAACTAATTTTAATCGGTGTTTGCTTTATTTAATTATTATTATTATTATTATTATTATTATTATTATTATTATTATTATTATTATTTTTATATGTGCCTAATAAATACTTGATTTTAATGCTAATTGTTGGTGTTGGTTATGTTTATGTTTGTCTTGCAATAAAATTGTTAAGTTTTCTTATATAACTAATCATATTTTGAGAATTTTAATTTGCTAGTTTATTTTACATTTTATGTTTAAGATATACAATATAATATATTTAGAAAGTTTGTAATTTATTGATTTTCTAAATATGATTTATTTAGTTTAACATTTTATCATTTACGCAGAACTCTGTTAAGTTGCTGTTAACTGCGTGTTAAAGTCTCTATTAAGATCTGCAGCTTCCAGCGACTTATGTTGTAAATCTCGTTGTGTAAGAGCCGAAGACCGTTTGCTCATAAATGCATGTTAACAACATGCGCATGTTAACTACTCTCTGTTAACTTTATTTAGCCTTGCTTCTTTCGGTGTTGGTTCTTATTATTGCCTGCCTTTCTTTGACCCTGCACTGGTTTCTGTTGGTATGTTATACAATACACAATATACACAGACACTATATTAATATATACCCCAAATTCTATAGAGACCTATTGCCTCTGCTTTAGCTGCTTGCTAATTCCATTGCTTTGTCATTACAGCTTGAAGAGCGGGCACAAGCAGCCGTCGACGCGCGCCAATCAAAATGGAGCTGGGCCGCCCGCGGGCGGGGCCAATGGATTACCGAAATCGACGCCCAGCAGCACGGATGACATGAACTCGGCGCTGCTGAAGTCGCCCAGCGACTCGAGCGATGCAGCCGCAGTCGGGAATGCGACTAGTATGTTTGGCAAATTCAAGGGATTCACATTGCGCCCGCTGAACAGTGCCAGCTCGCCGGCGAGCAACTACAGCGGACCGAATGTGGCCTTTGTGCAGCCGACGGTGCAGCAGGACGGCAATGGGGTACCACAGCGTGCGGCACCGCCTCCACCCGTTGTTAAGCCTCTGGCAGAGCAGAGCGCAACAAAGGCGGCCAGCACATTGCCCAGAGCAGCACCTGCGCTGCCACCGCCGAATCCCGGCTCGACAGCACGCCCCATCATATCGAAACCCAAGCTGGACTCCAGCACGCTGACCATGGTGCCGCTGAAGGGCGGCGATGAGGATCTGTCGCCCGAGCGGTCGGCGCCCGCTCCACCCGTGCCGCTGCACACGGATCCCAAACTGAACATCAAGCGCGACGGCACCATCCGTCGCTTTGCCTCGTTCCTGAAGAAGGAGGAGAAGCCCCCGCTCAAAGAGAAGACCTACATTGATCGCGAGCGGTTGCGCACATTGGAAATATCGGCACCGATGCCGGCGGCAGTGCCGTTGCCGCTGCAGACAGAGTCCTCCAACTCGGACTCGGAGACAACACCACGCGAGGAGGAGACCAAGAACCTAGTGAAGCGCACCCAGTCGATGCGTTCGCCCACCAAGAAGACGCAGGTGCAAACGTTTGGTTCGATGCGTTCGCCTCCCGGTGCAGCCCGGCCCAAGAGTTCTGTGAACACTGCCAACTCCACCGGCACACGGCCCAAGTCCCCGCCACCACGACCCCCGCCGGTGGCCAAGAAAACCAATTCAACCACCTCGTCGGGCTATCAGCTGCCGGTGGCTACCGCCCAGACGACGACGGAGAATAACTACGATGACTGCGAGTTCGTGGAGTCGCCAATGCGCGCCTCCAGCGATGCAATCTACTCGGTGATTGACGAGATTCCGCCGGCAGCGCAAACACTGAAGCGCAGCGATCTGGTAGCTAGCTTGGCCAGCGCAGGAGGAGGCGACGATATGGGTTTGCTGGGTGAGATTGTCAATGAGTTCGAGAAACTCAATGGCGGTGACTCCATCTACTCAGGAAAGGTATCAGCAGCAGCTGCTACCACAGCACTAGATCCGCCAGTGGACGAGCCGGAAGCGCCACGAAGTCCACAGCGTCCGGCACCGCCGCGGCCGGCGGGCAGCAACAGAAACAGCAGCTCGACCAGCGCTGACGAGAAGCCGGCCGTGACACCCACATATCTGCGTGCACCTCCCATCAATGCGCCCGTGGCGCGTGTGGCGCCTACACGCTCCGACATCTCACCATCGCGCGCATTTTCCAGCTTCAGGCCGGCGCCAGCAAATGCAGCCAGCAGCAGCAGCAAAACGAATAGTAACAGCGGCGGCGGTACAAGCAACGCCAGCAGCAGAGCAGCTGCTGTGCAGCCGGCACGTATCAGCGGAGGAGCGCGCCCCAAGTCCTTTACCAAGACAGCTAAACCACTGCCCAATGGCGTGGCAGCCGCGCCTTCGGCCACCATACAGAAGCCTAAGCCGCTCTCGGCGAAGCCTTCGTTCAGCGGCGAATTGCCGAAGCGTCTGGCTGGCGCAACATCTGCGACGACAGCGGCCGCACCAACACCACCCACAGTGAAGGCGTCGACGAATATAGCGTCGCTGACGCAGCGATTCGAGCCGCGAAAGTAGTTAGGGGCGAATTCAAACCTATGACTTTATATGATGTAAGCTAGGCTAGGCACGATAAAATATCATTTTTGGCACTGATTATCGAAACAGTTGTTGATATTCATTCCTTTTAGCTATCCCTCTAGCTAGGTCTAAGACGTTGCTTAATTTACGTGCTTTTTAGTATCTCAATGATGTTATTTTAAGCCTAATTTACGATATCGTATTGATATGTAGTTATATTATTATATATGCCTACTCACTAAATTTAAATGTATGTAATATTGTTTATATAACTTTATATGCTGTTTGCTTTTGTAAATAAAAACCAAAGAAGTCCAATTGTCACAAAAAACGAAAAAAAAAAAAAAAAAATTCGCTGCTAATTCAAAGCAAGTATTCAATGCAAAATGGTCCATGGTACTCTTAACTATAATGTTATAATGTTGTACAGTTGTAAAGCGCACTTGAGATATTTCAAAACGAATAAAGAACTATTCATTGAATTCCAGTCATATTTGCTTGGCGAGGCGATTTCAAAATGAGTTTGAATTGAATCCGTTTCATTTCATGGAACTGGGCAGCACTGGAAAATAATTCGCCGTATTTTTTCGCTGTCCAGTGGTGGCACGTCGATATTCATGAGGAATCTTCAAATATCGAAATGCTGTAATATCGATATGTTGAATTGAAATGAGCGCAAAAAAGGTAAACAATTGGTATTTCGCTTTAAAAACAGAATAAAATATCAGAATATTGTGAACAGAAACCATGGGTGAAGTCGGCATTCAGTCAGCTAACCATGACACCAAAGGCCGGCCCAGCTGCCGTACCCTACAAGCGTACAAGAAGCGGCAGTGCCGCAGCTGCAGCTGCAAAGGCGGCAGATGCACCACAAATTGTAGACTTAACCGTGAATGAGGATAATGATGGAGAGGTCAATGCAGCGACACCAGATGTGAGTGAAAATTGGATGGATTGCTTTGCGCCAAGCACAAGCGAAGATCTGGCTGTACATCCCAAGAAAATTGGCGATGTGCGCAACTGGTTGCAGCATTGTGAGGCGATGCGAAAGAAGTATCCGGCCCAGATTTGTCTGCTGACGGGACCAGCAGGCTGCGGCAAAACGGCCACGCTTCGTGTACTGGCCCAAGAGATGGGTTATGAGCTGCAAGAATGGATCAATCCCACAGACTGTGAAGAGATCAATGCGCTGGGCGATCAACCTAACGAAGGAACTTATATGGGCTCCCAACTGCAGGCCTTCAAGAGCTTTTTACTGCGCGCCTCCCGCTACAAATCGCTGCTATCCACGGGGAACAAGCGATTGCTACTCGTTGAGGACTTTCCAAATTGTTTATTAAAAGATGCTGCAGCCACATTTGAGGATTTGATGGAGTAAGTTTAATGCACTCACTGTGGAGAATCTGATTTATAATAAAAGAGTTATTTTCAGTGAATATGCCAACTATGGCAAATCGCCGCTGGTCTTCATTGTAGCCGACAGCAAGTCCCGTATGCTGAACATCAGTTACAAGCTGTTCACGGATCAACTGAAGGCCAAGCTGCGAATTGAACACATTAGCTTCAATTCCATAGCAGCGACTATTATGCAAAAGTCCATGAAGCGCTTTGCCAGTCTGATGCAGCAGCCCCAGCACAAAAGTCTGTATAAATTGCCCACGCAGACGGTTCTAGACTCGATTGTGGTGTGCGCCCAAGGTGACATTCGGAATGCGCTGATCAATTTGCACTTTGGTTCGCTGAAAGGTGCGCCGGGCATGGAAACCAAACAGCTGAATATTAGCGTTCCAAGCAAGGGGCGCAAACGGAAGGCAACAAATACATTAAAATCCATTGGACGGGATGAGTCTATAACAATGATGCATGCGCTGGGTCGAGTTTTCAATCCCAAATGTAATGAATAACATTTCGCTTCTTATATTGAACATGACTGAATCCTTTCGCTATTGCAGATACTGAAGCTGAAGACAAGTGTCTGCTACACAATCCTGAGGACTTAGCTGAAGCCTTTTCCACAGAGCCAAAAAACTTTGTTAACTTTATACACGCCAACTACTTGCCGCATTTCCAGGACATTGCCAATGTCAATTCCGCGCTCAACGATATTGGACTGGCGGACATGCTGCTTCAAGAGTACAGAGATGAATCGCTCTCCTTGGTGGGTCTCACCATAGCCGTGCGTGGCTGCATGGTGGCCAATGTGGCGCCAGTCTCAGGCTGGATGCCTGTGCGCGGGCCCAAACGTCTTACGATTGAGCCACAGCTGACGCCAGCGGAGCAAAGGCTACTAGGCGTGGCAAGTGGTGCCATCTCTAAGCGCCTCTATGCCAGCGAATACAGCTCATTTGTTAAACTGATAGCCGATAAAACCAACTAGGAAAGCTAATTTATAAAATATAGCAACTATTAGTAAAAATGTTCAAATTTTGTTGGCAAGTAATTTTTTTACAATTAAATAAAATATTACAATTCAACGCTTTTATTCAATTACAATTCGGGGTTATCTTTATAAAATTTCAAAAATTTCCACAATCTCTTATGCTTCACATTTTTAAAGCAATTTTCGCGGTTTTTCGTTTGTTTTTTGTTTTGTTTGGGATTTGAAGCATTTGATTATAGCACAAGCCTGTTAAAACTACATAAAAAGCATTAGCATTTTTGTTTGCGATCAATTTGAAGTAACTTCCATTCAGTTATTTTCTCCAGGGGTTAAGTATATCATATAATTATTCCAAGGTGTCTTTTTAATAAGCTTATGGCTACAACTTAGCTCTTAAAAACTACTTAAACGTTAACGGAGTTTTCCTAAATCATGCAACGTTTCTACCATAAGTATTAGATCATCTATTTACAGTTCGAGAACTCAATTCACATGGAACATTTTAATTGGGCTCTCCGTTGACGGCATCGTTATTCTTGGCATCCTCACTGGAGTTGTCATCCTCCTCCATGTGGCTGGCGTCCAACAGAAGCAACTGCTCCTCCTCGTTGGCATGCCCGTTCTGGTGGGCTTCAATCAACAGTTGAGGCGACCGTGAGTGGCTGCGACTATGCCGATGGGCGCGGGACTCTGCATGGCCGTTGGCTATATTTAGGCCTGCCACGCCCATTTCGTGTCCATCGCTGGTCGAAGATGAGCTGGATGTAGTGCTAGATGTGGAGCTGCTGCTGTCGCTTTCACTGTCTTCGCTGGACGAGTCCATGGGCGTGGGCTCTTGGGGTTGCTGACGCGCCTCCAGTTCACAGACGGCACTCGCCGTTGGAGCGGATGCAGAGGGTGGTGATGCCGCCGCTGCGATTCCAACGAGTAGAGTCGGCGATCGCGGTCGTATCATATGTGATCGCAGCACTAAAATTACACATTTTATTTTGAAATGAAAACAGAAATGTAAATGTAATATCTCACGCACTTTGATTTTCGCGCGTTAAATCACGGATCTTTTCTTCCAGAGCGCGAATTTTGGCACCAAACTCCTTTGATATGTTCTGTGCATTGAGACTCAATTGACGCTGTCGTCCTTGATCTTTAGCGTACCGATCCTCGATTTGCAAGCACTCCTGTATGAGCTCCTGTTTGCTCATCGTTTCTAGTCGCTCGACGCGCGCACGTTCGTAGACGTTTGAGAACTCCTTGGACAGGAACAATTCCTGATCCTCGGTCTGCGAGCCGAAGCAATTATCTTCAAAATCGTCTCTGGGCAACTCAGACATATGCTCCTCCATCAAAAAACGATTCGTGTTGTAGGGCACCAGCAACGAACGCGAGCGAACGAGTTTGGTGCGAGCTCCACTGCTGCAGCTAGCATTTGCGCTGTTCATGGTTGCCACGGCTCCCATATCCATTTTCCAGGGCGGATACTGATTCTTCGTCTTCTTGGGTAGCATTTTGGATTTCTTTCCTCGTCGATGCTTGCGCCTTTGTGTTGCGCCGGGCACGCCTTGGGAACTTTCTTTAAAGACAATGAAACGAAATCATATTTTCTTTTTGAGTAACGGCCGTCAATCGATTACAATTTAGCAACTCTCGCAACGAAAGCGACATCAACAGCAAATGTCTATCGATGTCTACTAATAAGATAGTCGCCATTGTCGCTTACATACGCACGAATGCAAAATTTGTTTGCACAGCTCTGTGACCAATTTTTACCTGGTTTCGCAGCTTCAGCCATTAGAAAATCACGCACAAAACAGTTTATGTTGGATTTTAGCACAGTAATATGTGTTTTCACAAACTAAACACTTGTCAAACTTAATTTAAGACCTTAGCTCCAATCGAGAGCAGCGCGTATGAAAGAGAAATGGCTAAAAACAATGTCTACACCGATAGTTGTATCTGAGCAGAATCGATTTTCCCGACTGCATATCGATGTGTTGTAGCTGTAGTTGTATCGTAAAACTCCTGCAATTTGAATAAATTTCGGACTCACAGATATTTTTTGCACCAAGAAAAGTTTACATATATATTTTACCAAAGTCATAACATAAGTATATAAAGGACTGTATAAATTAATTCGTCAGGCCTTTAGATTACTATGTATCCACTCAATGTAGGAGGCCACACGGGTATAGATATCCGGCCAGCCAGTACTTGGACACGGGACAGGACCGAAAGACAACAAGCCGCCAAGAAGATAAACGTTATTCTTGAACAACATAAGCGGACCGCCAGAGTTGCCATGACACTCATTGGTTTTGGCAGACCCGCACAATTGGGATGCCATAATATGTATATTTTGGGCGGCATATTGCTTCTGACAGGCTTCGATAGATTCAATGATAACCTCACTCTTTCTTAGGCGTGAACTGGAGGTGGCCTTCCAGCCGCCCACTTCCGTAACCAGATCCTCCAGCTCATCGGCGTGCAGCTGCTGGTTAGGCAGGCAAATGGGCTGCACGTAGTTGTTGAGCTGGACGGCATCCTTCAGTCGTATCATTGCAATGTCATACGTTTGACTGAGGCTGTCCTTGTTATAGTCCGGGTGCACAATGATCTCTTCGATGAGCACGTCCTGGTAAGGAGGCGCACATTCCGTTTTGATAGGCGCCCCACTGACTTGGCAATCCGGATTTGTCAACGTATCCCATTCGCCCAACCGTACGGCACGCATTTGCCAGCCTCCGCTGCTTATCGCCTTTCCAGAGGCACAGTGAGCCGCCGTTAGCACATAGCGTTCGCTGATCAAAACGCCGCCACAAGCGTGAAGTTTCTCTTGGCTTGCTGCGTAATTTGGAAAAATATCAATGATAAGAATTAAGCTCATTATTAGTGTAATAATAAATGTCATTTACTTACGTTTCGTATACTCAATCAGCGCCAGCCACGGATACTCATTTATTTTCGTTTCCGTATCATTGGAGCGCTGCCATTTGACCCCGCCGCATTCGCGAGGCAATAGTGGATGTGTCAAGGCGCCTAAGCTATCTCTACTCACTAGCCCTGCGTCAGCCCCACCTTGAATGGGGCAACACACCTTCAACGAAA